GTAAAGGAAGCACAGCTCACTTAAGGAAGGAGGAAAGATACCCTTCTATACAGGTAAAAAGTTTTCAATTTAATAAGAAAAACTAATTTAAAATTTCATTTTTAAGAAAAATTCTGGCAGATATGACCATCTTTAATTATAAAAGTAGTAAGCAAATAAGAAAGTAGAAAATCCTATCCCAAGGCATTAATGGATCAAGAAGACATAGGATCCAAAGCTACTGCTGGTGTGCTACACCTTGACTCAGCCAGTGAAGTTGTCAGCAAAGCTAACTTTTATATAATAAAAAAAGGGAGAAGGCAGCTGGGCTCTGTGAAATGCTTTCTCAGCACCAAGCCAGGTACTGACTGCTAAAGTATTTGATGCTCATTTGATGGATGTATGGTCAAATTACATGCCAGTAATTCCTGCTGTCATAGTCCTCAAAATCTAACCCAGTACCAGAGACATTCAAGGACAAACATGATGGTTCCTTCTACCAGAAAATATGGAGGGAAAAGACCAGCCAATAAATTTCTGGATCTGCAAGCCTCAGCTGAATTCCTTCCTTTACAAAGCCACATGCAAAGGACTTCAGGATATGAGAGAAACAACCCAAGAGAAAGATGGAATATACAGCTGCAAACAGGCCTCTGAAAGGAGGAAGGAGAGCATGGTAGATGAGAAAAGACAGAGCACTGAAGTGGAAATTACCATCATGGAGTTTTCCACTGTAATTTTCTCTGATTCTAAAACCAGCAAAGGCCCCTTCCACAAAAGTGAGATTACCTTGTATTGGTCATAAGATCTTACAGCTCAAGAACTCACATCCAGCTGTGGTTGCTTTTTGATGACATGGAGAAACAACCATAGAGGAAGCCTCTAAAACAGAAATCTTGCCTTTTTCTAAATCATGAAATAGCAACAGCCAGGGAATTCACATGCAGATGACTATTCTGAGCACACATGATCAAGCAAAATTTCCCAATCTCAGAGGAACACTTTGCAAACACAGCTTTCTTTTTAAAATCATCCTGACAACATAGAAACAACTGTTTAAAGTTCCCAGACCTTTAAGAATGAAATCTAGCAGTAAGAATTTGAGGCATTTCAGAATTAGAATTTTAAAAAACTCTTAATTTGGAAGACAGGCAAGGCAAGAGGATGAAATGGGAAGAATGGTGAATTCCTTCCCATGGCAAATGTCTAATCACTGTATAGCAGAGAGAGCTTTCCTGCAAAATTAAACATAGTTTCATCTTTACAAGGTAAAAAGTAACATGCAGGGCCTTCTTTTTTTAGCTAAAGGAAGGAAATGAGAAATTCTAGCTTTAATCTGAAGCGACTTAGCTTTGGAAAAGGATATTAAGACACTGGGATAATAATTAAGAATCTCAGCACAGAAAGCTCATCTTCCTGTTTTAAAACCAGCAAAACTTCATTCCCTTCCTTGGGAAAGTTCTGATGTATTTTACATTAATTGTAATGGATAATGGACACTTCCATCAGAATGCCTCTTCATTCTCTTTTCCCCCCAAAATTTTAATCACAGAATAATCTGAGCTGAAAGGGACCCACAAGGATCACCGAGTCCAAGTCCTGGCTGTGGAGAGGACCATCACTAAGAGTGACACGATGTGTCCAACAGCACCATCCAAACACTGCTTCAACTCAGATGGACTTGGTGCTGTGACCACTTCCCTGGGGAGCCTGTTCCAGCGCCCAGCCACCCTGTGGATGAAGAACCTTTTCCTAATAGCTAACTTCAACCTCCCCTGATATCTTCAGGCCATTCCCTCAGGTCATCAGGCATCACAGATCAGTGCCTGCCCTTCCTCTTCCCCCCATGAGGAAGTGGTAGATTGCTATGAGGTCCCCTCAGTCTGCTCTCCTCTGGGCTGAACAGACTTCAGCTAGAGGATCCAGGACATAAGGACAGCAAGGGTTTAATAAGGACTGGATTTCCTTTCTCATTAAGATTATGCAAGCATGATGAAGTATGGCAGTAGATGCCTTCTGGACAACACAAGAAATTCCTGACATGCTGGAATGCTCAATAAAGTGTTGCAGCTCCACGGTAGTTGGCACTGTTATCCATTCATCTTTCCTATTGTAAAATAGTCTATGAGACAATTAAAGAAAAACTGATAAAATGAAAAATGGCAGGGGGAAGAAATATTTAAGAAAGCTAAAGAACCTGGAGAAGAAGGAAAAGCTAAGACATAGGTTTCAGACAAGAATCATAGATCCCTGTTTTGTGCAGAACTTGGTGCTTTTGGTTTAAGTAGTATTGGTATGAAAATGCCTAAAAGACAGCTCTTCTCAAGAGTCTCAGGTTCAGCCATACCAAGGCTGTGAATGCCTGATAAGATGGAAACTGAAAAATGCTCAGCTCTGCTAAAAGAGAAACATTTTCAGACAAGTCATATCAAAACTTTCGTGGTTTATAAGCCTTAATGGTGAAAGCTTACATTCCTGTAGCCTATAAATATCAACAACTTAGAGAGGAAGCTGTGGATAGATACCATTTTTTCAGGTGTATCCATTGCCCAAGTTGTATTTCCAGACAAAAGTGCTTTTTCTGGAATGGACTACCAGTCTTCTGCTTCTACATTTATCCAAAAAAGAATGTGACAAAAAGTCTTTAGTAAGCTAAAAATAAGCTGATTTTGACATTTTAATCCATGGGCATCTTGCGCAAACCTTCAAGGTTAACATTTCAATACTATGAGGGAAAGAAGTCAGCTATCTAACTTTCCCAATTCTTTAGAAATAAAGAGGATTTTAGTTTATCACTCTTTTCCTGACACAAAGAGTTGTGGTAACATACATCATACATTTTTTTATTTATAATTCATAGGTATGAATTACTACTGACAAAACACGAAACAGAATACTGGAATATTGCACTATTTGGCAATCAGGACAGAAAATAAGGTTTGTAGTTCTTGTTTTTGCAACTTGTACTTCATCCTTCTCTTCTAAAAAACAGTTGCTTGGAACAGTTTCTCTTTTTATACATGATTGCTTCAAGTTTTTCAAGTTTACAAATGTCAGTCAATATGTTTAAACAGCAAATGCACTTTACAGCAATAACAAAATTTTCAGCAAGTCAAATTTCAGTAACTGTAACTTTTGCTTCCTCTTCCTACAATCTATGTAATCAACATGCTGAAACACAACAGTATTGATTCCTACTGTAGTAGTCTGCAAAAAAATGAAGTATGATTAAGCCATTTTGAGTTTCATCTCATTTTGTCATCATTTAAATATGTCAATATGATCATTTTTATACCAAAGGCCAAAGATATCCAAAGCCTTACGAACAATATATGTCTCTTTTTTTTTAATTTAAGGAAAAACTTGATAGATTAATACTTTTTCAGGCACAGCAATATTACGTAGTTAATTTTAATTTATGCAGCACATTTCTGATTTCCCAGTTTAACTGCCATCCCCTGCTCAATCCACTCTTCTTGCCTGTATTCTGCTAGAATGCCAAGATTTCACATGATGGGCATGTTATTTGCATAACAGTGAACCTTATATTAATTCCACAGAAATTTCAAGCAAATATACTATATTCCAAATGACTTCTTAAGCATAGTAATTCTGAATTTGTTAGACTGATTATGTGAAGAACAAATGACTGATGATTTGAAGATAAAATTCAGTGTATAAATGTTGTCATCTATGACACTTCACTATGCTAAAAACACAAAGGCCTGCCAGATTTCATTGCATTCATAATTAGAATTATTACATTGTAATTCAGGTTGTGTTCTTTATAAAGATTAATAGAATGAGTTTTAACATAACCAAACCCAGGCAAACCCAACAAGCCTACCTATGCAACAAAGTTGTCAATTCAAATAAAGGTTTGTTTTCCTTTTCATAATGCAACTATAAATCATAATTGACACCTGAAAGAAAAAATAAAATACTACAAAGAATTCAAATTTCACAAGAAGCATAACTAACTCAAGAGTAACCTGTATACAACTATTTTTTAAAAAATTGGTTTTAACTCATAATTATAGCATCTTCATTTTATGGTGCCATAAGTTAATGGGATAAGTATACTCAAGAAAGCACATAGAAATGGAAAAAATATTCAGACATTAGTTTTTAAGAGCTTAAGCAAAACATCCACGCCCCAAAAAATCTGTCAGACAATCATGACCTATAATAAATATTTTGCCACATAATCAAGCATATATAAGCACAAAAGGTTAGCAAACATTAGCACACGTCCAAAGGACAATAAAAATCTCTATTGGAACCTTCAACACGGTCTCATATATGATTTCCTTGTACTGAGGTCTCACCTCTCTTATTTTTCTTACAAATATAATATAGCTAGACTACAGCAATTCATAAAAATTCTGTCAAGAAACAATATGATATAACAGAAGGACTCCAAAATAATGTCCCATTATGGAATTCCCAGTTCCCTCAGAGAGTTCCTGTATTTGCACACTGGTTGAAAAAGCATGTCCCACTGCGTACAGCTACAAACTATACCAAAACATAAATTCTCAATTTATGCAACCTATGTTAATTTAACATTTACTTTAGATATGCAAACAATACCAGGAAGATTAAAAGAGTATATTTAGGGAGACAAGAACAGAATACTGTAAGAAAAAACATGCTCATTTTCATAGAATGTTTTAGTCAAACATTTCTTTCCAATTTATCTTGTGGATAAAATTTAATGCTCTCAATGTTTTAAAAAATAGTCCATGTTAAATCATAACTGCTTTAATCAAAAATATTTCTAAGCAGAGAGACAGCAGCTATTTTAATGCTGGGTTACGGTAGACACGACATTATTTCTTTTGCAATAAATTGCAGATTACACTTTTGCAATGCTGTAAAATTACTTCACACCTAGCAATTTTGTTTCACTCGTCATCTGATACTTGCATGCATCATTTGGTACTTTTCAGCAGTCTCTGTCTAACAGCAGAGCAACTTTTCTGTGGAGTCTCCACACTAACAACATAGAACTGACTTACCATGTTCCACCCTGGGTAGAGGTAGTCTGTCCCAACAAACTCAAAATAGTGAGCAAAACCTTCTTTCAACCACACATCCTCCCACCAAACTGGAGTCACAAGGTCACCAAACCACTGGAAAAACAAAAAGTTCACATGAACAACTTTAACAACCTTTAGGAAACCATGTTTGCATATATTTCACCTAGACAAACACATTCTCCACTTGTATTAATAAAACAGTAGTTTTTACCTCACACTGAAATTCACTAACTGTATTTCTCCTGTGCTAATTAATTCAACATTACAGGATGAACAAGTTAATGAAGTAAAACATTAGAAAAGAACAAGCAGGGCAAAAGAAGCATTGAGGACAGTATTCACAGTGTCAAGTTTAGTTCTCTGAAGTAGATGCTCACCTAGGTTTAACAGACTAACACACACTGGACAGAAAAAGGCTTCTAACTCAAGTAATCTGATCCATTACATGGGAATTTCATCATGCATAGTGTGAATAACAAAAAACATATATATGAGAATGGGAACACATTCTCCACCCCAGACCTAAATTTTAGCATTTCTTTCTCCCTGTTCTCTGCCCACTAACATCTACCATACTACTGATGCTCCTCTCCTTGGCAGGTTTCTTAAAGAAGGCAGCTTTACACAACAATGCCAGCTCTCTGTGGGTAGGACTCAGAAGCTAAAAAGCAGGAAGTTGATGGCATTTAGACAAGAGACTAGGGTATGTGAGATACCCACAAAGGCCCAGGAAATTTCATATATGACTTAAAGGACATGAGCAGCCTTCACAAACAGCAATCAGAAGCAGAGGTATCTGAAATGGCACAGCCTACCTGTGTATATTCAAAGGAGCCCTACTTGAGCTGCCTGCTTTTCCCATTTCCTCCAGATGATTCTTCAACATCCCCACTGACTTCAATCTAATTTATCATGGACAGAAATCTCGAGGATAACTAAACTCCATAAACTACACAAGTAAATAAAGATCATCAGCTGAAAAGAGAATAAGGGCCTGAGCTGAGGGCAAGGCAGGAACACAACCTGTTCACAGAGTATACCTCAACAGACACAACTCTCATAGTACAGGACTTGCAGGTGTCAGAGGGATTTTACACAGAGCTAGGATGATCACTGGAAAACAGATGAGAACTGGAATTCATAGGAAACCAGATGTCATATATTTTATCTGCTGATGGATGGTCCTGTTTAAATTATTATTTAAATGCTTGCAATATGTAACCTGAATAATGTTACACCAGTGGTAAGAACAAAAACATTGACAGTATTATGAAAACCTATTTCATACTCTGCAGCATCTCTTCTGCCAAAAAAATAACAAAACTTTGTTGAAGTAACATTATCTTCCAGTTTTCTCATAATATTTATAAAAATTAGTTACAATCAAGAGAGATAATTTTGAGCTTTCATGTGTAAGCAAGCTCTAAAAATACAGAGAGGGAGCAAAAAGTATTCTAGAGGGAAAAACTCAGGTCAGTGCAGAGGAACTGATGCTGAAGTGTAATGAGAGTGAGGAAAGAGTGAAAGCAGAGATGGCCCATAAGCAGTTTGATGTCATGACAGCTGGCTTGTTTGAAGGGTTTGTCTGGGACCTGAATGAAAGATGTCACTTCTGAGCATGTCTTTGTGGAGTGAGAATGACATGCACAGAAGGATCCATAGTGATGTGAACACACTGGAGCTTCAAAGGACAGACTAGCAAGCAAAGACCAGACTAGCTGGAAGATTACCAGACAGCCACATAAGGTTCAGCAAACAGAATTCAAATGAAAACAATGAAGAAAAAAATGGCAATGAATGTCTCCGAAGACCACCTGAAGAATTTAGAGAGAAAAGATGAGAAGAAGTGCTAGAAGTCATGTTCATACACTATGTGAAGCTAAACTTAATGCACACTCAGTATGCATAATGTAGTTGAAGGCTATCAGTAAATTAACTCTCTACAAAGCCACTAAACATAGATCCTGATCTAAAGAACATGTAACTGAAAAGACAAAGAAATGCTAGAAATATATTCATATAGCTTCTGCAGAATTTAAAACAATAAAATGAATATAACTTTCATACACCAAGAAGTATGGAAGCTAAATTCATACCAGAGTAGGCTGCTTAAATGATTTCTAATGACTAAACATAACAGCATTTATTATAACAGAGTTTATTTCCTGAATTACAGGAGTACTACTGAACAAATATGATACCAGTGGTACAACTGTCATTTTGAACTATGACTAATCAGAGAGACTTTTAGAAAAAACCTTTAAAAAGGTTTTAAAGTCCATAATACTTCATCCTGTAATTTGAATTAATAACATTAATTTATGGTGCTACAAAAGAGAATTTCTTCAACTCCTTTTTGAGTTTTCTGGGTTCATTTGTTAATGATACATTTAAAATTATTTGTTTAATTATCCACCTAAAGGAAGAATTGTTTTAAAGGCATTAAACCAGTATGTGATATCAATATGACAATGTAGGGAATTCGCTTAACTACTTTTGAACAGTATCAGAGAGAGTTATGGATGTCAGAGACAGAGCAGTACCCAGAGGCTGTAAGCAAGAAAGCCAAATTTTCCAGCAGAAAGGTGCTATTATCTTCCTAGGTGTTACATGTCTCAAAGGAAAACTGTAATTAAATTTCTTTAAGTAATTATTTATTTATTTATGTATTTGACTACAGGCTCTATCTCCCTGGAGTGAAGACCATCACTTCATTTTGAAATGTATTGATCACATAAATTTCTATTCTCCTTCAAGTATTATGTTCAACCTGATATGCAGAAAGTACTTAATTTACAGATACACTGAAAGGACACTCTTTTCTATACATTTTTTTAGAGATTATTAAAAAAAATGTTGATTTAGAAGTTTTTAATTTTCTTTCTGCTTTCATGCTTCTGTAACTCAATCTGTCACACCAAGTTTTGTGCTCAGGTGGGAAAACTATCACAAAAAAATCATGATGCATAAATTCAAATGACTCTTTCTTCACAGGCTATAGGTGGAACTGATCTATGATATGCAAATAAAACTGATTACTACCTTAAAAGAATTATTTTAATAAATTATGGTAATTATTTCAGGCTATCAAATTAAGCTGGTGGAAATATATGTGTTTTGACCAACTCATCTTTTGGAGCTTGGAGGACAAGATTTTATGCCAAAACACTTATGACCAATTTTCTTTTTAATTAAACAAAAAAATATTCTGAAAGAATACTCAAGCTGAAATATCAAAAAATAGCACCCTACAAAACTATTGAACCAACACTACTGAAGTAATTTTTATGCATCTCTCCCCACACGTGTACCTAAAATCCCCACACGTGTACCTAAAATACCTAAAAACATGAGAAGTCAGCTATGAAGAAACTGGACATGAAATCCTTTCTTACACACTTTTTACTTGGCTTTTAGCAACCACTGAATTTTTCCTTTTGCAGCACTGTCTCTCATTTTTATCTGTCTTGAGCACTGTGCTCAAGCATTAATACAGAGCAGGTTTGGTAATTACAATTCTTAAAAAGTCAAATCTAAAGGCAAGAATCCGGATTTTTAATGTTCATCTGGTTTCTCTAATCTTGGAAACATTAGCAAAGAAATTGCTGTGTTACTCTAAGTAACAGGTCTCTCATACAGATCAGTTTACTACAGGCTCAGATATGTTCCATAAATCTTGAAGTCATGGATTTAAAGTCAGGGAAACTGGACAATGACACAATTAAAATAAAATTTAAAAAAAAATCCACACATATTTTAGAAGAGTTTCATTTTCCTCTTCCCTGAAATCTAAAAAAAAGCCCCAATAAATAAAAACCAAAACTGGCAATGTGGATTCTAGTTTTGCTTGTGCCAGAGAGAATTTGGTTAATTTTTGTTATTCTGTGTGTAAAAATGAGTGAAGGGTAAGAATATTAATGCATCACCTCAGGCTAACAGGTGATATGATGCACAGCCAAAGACAATGAAAAATGCAGTGAATAAATAACAATTAAACAGCAGAGGCAAGAGATCCTGGACCTAACCTGGTCTTGGTTCAGTACATTTTCATCTAAGATTGTATCATTTAGAGCTCCTTGAGGGGCTTCTGAGTATGGTAAGATAAAGATAGAAAAAAGGGCTAAATAAAGACAGTGTGATGGAGATACTAGACAGTGGTATTTTTTACGTTATATTTTTTTTAGTTTTCTCCCTTTAAACTTTATTTGCAGGTGAATAATCCATATTCTGTGTGACAATTCTGCATCCAAAAAGTAGAAAAAATGGTCGTTTAACTTCAATTTTTTCTGTCTTGTCTAGCTACCCAGTGAAGTAGCTCAGCAAATACCTAATCTGCATGTACTGAAACAGAACCAGCAGCAACAGGAATAGAGGAAGCTACTTTTAATTAAGCAAACAGCGCTGGAAGTATTATCAACATGGACATCAAGTAAACCTCCTCATATCTGCAGTTTTACGGTCACTTAAATGCACTTTATGATCATATTTCTACCTTAAAATAAATTCACCTATAGTTTTTGCTCACATCATGATCCTCTAAAATTCCCACAACAATGTAAAAAGGCTTCAGTGTCTATGAGAATTAAATAAACAAACTTGGTCAGTTACTGATGTGATAATTGCCCATATCTGAAGTACAAATTGCTCTGGAAGCAGAGGAAATTATCAAAGCAGTGCAAAGAATAAATGGAAGTAATGAAACTATTTCAGAAAAACCAAGACTTAAGGTGAACACTTGGGAATAGTTACTTAGTATCAGATTTAATCAAAAGCTTTTAAGGGAAGCCATATAACCCTGTAATCAGGAGCACAGAACCCGGCACTACAAACACATCACGTGGAAAAATCCAATACTCACAGGAGCTGGGACTTGATGACCTAATGTATGTTTTCCACACATGGTTCCTAAGGCCCTGTAATTTTTCTAGCTGACTGTGTACTACTCTATTGCACTGCACAGTGAAGAGCTTATAGCAAAATCAGGTGATAGTATCAAGATCAAATCAGCAGTAACTTTCAATAAAAATTTCCTGTTTTAGTTGAGGACTTCATATTCATTGACCAATGAGAATTATTTTCAGGTTCATCTCCCAAAACGCCATTTCAATGACTTCCTTTCACATGGTACTTTTTATTTGCAGAAAGTGTTAAGAATTTGCATTGCCTTTAAAGAATACTGTGTAAATTCACAGATGTAAGCCATGGTGATTACACAGTAGGATTTCATTCATTTTAACCTGAAGGCTATGATTATGCCTCTTATGAGTGTAAGAAAGCGTTTCCTGCCCCTGTAGCAAATTTCTTCAATAACATTTGCATTCAATTCAGTATTACTAACACTTGTAATGTGTTTAGCTTGAGATAAGAAGATGGGAAAAATGTAAAATAAATTGTAATATGGGTTTATTATTTTAAGTTTTCTTATTGACACAATAGTTTCTGTAAACATAAAGACTCACTTATCCACTGTTGGTGAACAGAGAGGGTCAATACCAAACTGGGAAAAAAAACCAAGAAAGAGAAAATGGATATATGTATATACCACAGAAGACAAAGACTACTACTAAATTGATTTCAGCCAAAATATTTTTTGACATGAACATGAAACTTAGCATGAATCTGCTATCAACAAGTTTATTCTACATACCAGTAACAAATACAGTGACACACAAACACACAGAATATACTGCTATGGAAGACAGAGAAGCTGTTTATTGCTACCAGTTTTCTCTTCTAACCCCATTTTGAGTCTTCACAGCTTCTGTATTGGAGGGATTTGTCTTACAGACCTCCATGTTCCATGGATTCCAGCTACAATAGAATTCACAGCCATTCATATGTACAATACAAATTCATTTTCAGTTCTGAAAAGCACATGCTTTCTGACATTAAGCTCAAGTATGTGAACACCTTAAATACCTGATGACATAGCTCATGTACAATGACCATGGTGACATCCAGTAGGTATAAAATAGAAGAAATGCTTGGATCTAGCAGTATCCTTTGCTCCACGAAAACACTCAGTCCCCAGTTTTCCATAGCAGCATATGGATGCTTAGGCACAGCCAACAGATCTAGAAATAGAAAATATATATGTTAACTCCTTGTGGGAGCTACTATGCTGAAGAGCTATTGTAAGAAGGACCACAAATCATCACTAAAAGCATTTTATATAACATACATGGGGAAAAAAATGCACTCTGGTAATATTTCTTAGGAAACATTAATAAAGTATTCATTTTTATCTTATGCCACTATCTGCTCACAAATGATAACCATGTTATTTATGTAATACAATACTAAGTATTTCTAACGAAGCTTTTTATACAGAATCCAGCTTATTTACAACACCTTGTTGATTTACTTCTGAGTTTGATACTGCTTCAAATGTTTACTATACCATATCAGCACAGTAACACAGACTCTTACTACAAGCATTTTTTTATCTTTTCATTAAAGCAACTCCTTTATGAACATCTTACACATCAAACTGTATGCAATGACTGACATTTAGGGGTGCACTGAAGAAATATCGTTTCATAACATCAAGAAAAATGGCAAACTGTTCAGAATCCCCAGTTCTTACTGAACAAGGCATTTTACAATGTACACTGTTGCTAGCATGCATCCTCTGGGAGCAAGACTGCTGACAGCCACCTCTCAGCCCTGCCAGCTGGAACAATGGAACCATATGCAACTTAAGGAACTTTAGTTCAGTTTTGTATTTATTAAGTGAGAAAATATTAGGAACAATATGGGACGGTCCTTCATCGAGTAAAAAAAAGCACCAAGGAATCTGTCCCAGTGGCATAAGGCTGAACAACTCAATACTACAATACATGTCTTATAAAAATCTTACTGCCAAGATTGAAAAGGAACTAAATTGACTACCAGTCTGGAAAGAAATCTAAAATTGCAGTAAATTTCCTTAGGTTCAATATAGGTTCGTAAACGAACCAATACACAATTCTCCTTCATGGCAAAAAATTTCTGAAAGAGCCCAGAAACAACTTGTTTGTCTATTTGAAGCCCAGTACAATGTGTGTGCAAATCAGACAGCATTCTGGAAGCTGCAATGTGACATCAGCATGGTGCTCCCTCCAGTCAAACTAATTAGCCTGACTTCTTAATTAATTAGCCTGGCTGCCACACTCCTCCCTCATTTGCCTCTACTTCTTCTGCTTCCAAAGCTAGTTCATTGGCAGTTATCACAAGTCTGTCTAGGTGGTCCTTCACTGGGTGACTTCCTAACATGAACAAGTGCAATTCTGACCTAATTATTCTAAATAACACTATAAATTGTATTACAGCATTGACACTTCTCCTAGGTTTGTCTGTTTTGGCTTGCCGATGCATGTGCTGGAATTGGCTTGGAGAACAAACAGACTGCAGAAGTCCTGCTCCAAGATTCAAAGGAAGTTGCCACTGAAATACTGGGAAATGAGAATTTAGGCATATTCTGGCATTCCTAAAAAGGGCCTGCTTTAAGAAGCATAAAAATACCAGACTCCTAGTGAATTCAAGGCAAGTCTAGTAGCTACTTCCCAATACATGCAGAAAACATCCAAATCACAGAGACACACTTCAAATGTTAAAAAATAAATATTTTATAGAAAAGCAAACACTAGAACACAAGTCTAATTAAAGAAAAAAGGAAAAATTCAAAACATGGTGCTCAAAATAAGGCATGTGAGTAAATTCAAAACTACATGTTTTCCTTTTCTTCTTCGGTTGAAGCTTGAACTGTACTAAGTTTTTAGAATAACTGCAATTTTTTATACATTACATGCAAAACGAAAAGCTCCTGTCTGCTATACAAAGAAGGAATAGGGATGGGGGTGAAAAAGAAGACACAAACATTACCACGTGGAATCACTGAAGTTAATGGTAAGTTTTCATTAACATTAAACAGGGATCTTTCACATTCTCAACTCTGTAAAGGAAGCCATAACTTCTCTTATATCAATTAAACTTTCCTCCAAAAGGTGTCTTCAGAAGATGAATACTGTTCTTATTTACCCCAATTAAGTTTCCAGCACTTCCCTTTAAACACAGAACAGAACAGGCACAAAAGTAAAACCAAGTCCCTATTTTTCACTGGTCCTTTCAACTCTTTATTCTCCTTTGAGTTCATTTGTAGTTTTTGGTCTTTCTTTCCAGCCAAAATGGATAGATTTTGTCAGTGTCATCCAGTAATAAACTGAAATAACTCTTGCAGAACTGGGAAACAAGGGTGAGGTCTCACACTAAACACATTTATAGGTTAATTATAGACTGTCTTTCACTGTTTGTGTCATTGTTATTGCTTTTCTGGTTTGGACTGATACTTCACAGCACTGATACAGCAACAAAACCTTCCAATCTGATGGACAGATAAGTGCCTTGCAGGAAGGCAGCCACACAGGGATATTTTAAATCACTTTCATCCAACATAGCCCCATTTCTCTGCAAACCTGAAAAGTCCTTTCACGCACTGGCTACTGCTGAAAGGGCTTTTTTGAAGAGAGAAAACAAAACGTATTAGATAACCCTGTCAGTTTCCAGAATGGTAATCCCTGCAGGTGACATGAGCATACCAATAATGTTGAGTGAATATGAGCACACTATCATTTCCTAGTACAGAGACTGATACACTACACTTTAATGCCAAAGAGACTTTCTTAATCTTCACTGACTGCCAGAATGGTCTCTGAAAATACTCATCGTCATGAAATTTTTTGCTTCTTATTGTCTACATCTAAATTCTGAATATCCAAGTCTCATTGTTAATTTTTCAGTGGCTGGTCTTTGATAGCTTCAAAAATTTCCACAACCTTTAAATAAAATTCCAACCACGTCTAGTTTTGTGGTAAAAGACACAATAATCTATATCTTTCTCTGGGGAGTAATAAACGCTTCATTTCAGAGGAACAATGTGTGGTGTTCAAGTCTCAACATGAGAATTGGTACTTCCCTGTTTATCACACCATATTAGAGCTCTGAGCAAGGTATCCTATGATTCTGGAGGTGACATCTGTTAAGGTTTTAGTATCATTTTTAAGGAGTAAGGTACAAAGGGAGGAGTGATAATGCACATTTTGATGGAAATATCATTCAACATATTACTGCACAAAAGTGTTCTGCACTAACTGCAAACTGGGAACTACTGAATATCTAACAGCTTGTGTACATGCTGCATCCAGTCACTCTGCACACTATTTAATTAAATTCTTTGTAAAGCACTTGTGAATGTTTGATTATGTGGATATTGCTGGGGAAATAGAAGTGTGTGTTATTGCTTGTAGAGAATAATATCCTCATGCGTCATAAAACTGTTACTTGAGATTTCCTGATACGGCAGTGCAGAAGTCCCATGCAGTGCTGGAATAATAAAGGGTTTCTACCTCCTGGCCTCCACAGAAACTAAATTCATGACCAACAAGTAAAAATTATACATCTAAAATAAAATCAAAAGACAAAAATGTGTTGGAGCTTCACACTAACATGCTATACTGGTACAATTATTTGAATAGAAGGACAGCATTTGGATTACATTAATAGATTTAATAAATTTTTAAAAATCTATTTCTGTGTCACTTTGATGAAAAAGAAATTAAATTACAAAAATTGTACATAGCTCAACAACTTGTTTTATTTCCAAACATTTAATTAAGGCATCATAACTATGTGAGCTTACATCAAAATATAATCCTCTGATATTATCAGCAAGCTATCATCATACTGCAAAATAGAAATTAGCAATTTCACACCTAAGTTGGCCACAAAGAAAATACACATTTGATGGGGATTTTTTTATCTATGAACTTAGTATCTGTGCAATTTGTACAAATGATACTGTATTTCAATCTTTGCCACTCAGTCACGGTATCTTCTAGGTTCTGTTAAAAACCATTATATTCCCCAAAGCACAAACTGGGAACATCATTCTTACTTTAAATGATAGCAAGGTTAGAACAGAAAAGGATTAAATGCAAAAAGATCCAGCTCTCTCACGCAGAGTGCCATGGATCTGTGGGGCCTTTCCCCCCCGCCCTTTACCATCCTACTCTCTTGCAAACATCAAAGCATCTTCTTCATCACGGTGATTCTACTACATTTAACCACCTCCATTTGAAGCTGGACAAGGATATTGCACCCATGCATACATCCTCACTCTACATATAAATATGAGCGCATGAATAAACACCAACAGACATCCACATTTACTAACATTATGCACTGCAATATTATTTGTTTTAGCTGTTGGTTGGAATGTAACCAAGGGCTAGATACTCCAGAACATATGACAGTATTAAATTTCTAATACTCATGACAGAAGTTAAAAAGCACTAAAGGGGAAAAAAAAACTAGATGTATGAATTATTTCTGCACATTTTCTGTTAGCATACAGGACAAGTCTCCCAAATAAATAGCTGAGACCCTTGAAACATCACAAGTTGTAAATGAGAACAAAGTGAGAGACAAGAATTTTCTGTCAAGCATTTTTACACATACATTTTCCTTAATAAACCCAGGAGGCATGCAGGGATAAACTATTCACTCCATGAACTCCATGTTTTTTCCTTATTATCCCTACTTTTATTACAAAAAATGACAGACACTACAAAAATAATTTGAATTTATCTATGTGCCTCTCACAATGTTATTTTAATTCATTTCTTCAAAAACTTTTTTCAGGATATTGGTGCAGGTATCTTGCTCTTGGGATTTCCACTTTTTTGGCAGCAAATTCAACAAGTTAAGACAAAGCATGGACTAATATCAGTTTATTTAAGTCATGCCATAAGTATGTTTTTTGCCCTTTCCTAGTACTGCATAATGCAATCAATAGCTTTATTAAAGCTCTCTAAAGGCCTTGCGCAATTTCCTAAATTAATGCTACTGTACCAATAGGAAAAAAGAACTGTTTACCAGAAGAGTGTATATTTCTGCCACTCAGATTCCTTAATCAAAGTAATTTGTTTTACTAAGTAGAAGATGCTTTTCTGTAGCACAATACCATTTCATGATTTATACAGAGTTTTAAGGAACAAGCCAAATATAAAAAGTGACAGATCTCATTAAAAAACATTAA